CCGGCACTGCCCCGGCACTGCCCGCTGCTGCCCGCTGCTGCCGCAGGACCGCCGCGGCGCTGCCTACGAGGGCTTTGTCACTGCCCAGGTACCGCAGCCCGGACGCCCCTTGGCCGGCGGACTTTACTCCGAGGCGGAGGGGGGGTTGCTTCCCGCCCTGCCGGGTCTGGGGAGGGGGAAGCGCTTCCCGCTCTGCCGCAGTTCCTGGCTGAGCCACGGGGAATGTGAGTCGGGGAATGCCGTTTCCCTGCCCTGAGGGATCCCGCCGCCGTCCCGCGGGTTTGCCCAGGGAATGGCTTCCTGCTGCCTTCTGGGCTGGGTTAGTTGTGCTGACGAAAGTGCTTTTGGGGCAAGGCTGGATGTGCCCGCGTTCATGGCCTGTGGTAAAAGTTGACATAAATGACTGATGGCGGGCGTTTTCTTTTTGTTTACTTGTGAGGCGGTTTATTTACTTTACTTACTTCAGCTGAGGCGATGCATCGTCCCTCGGGGTGCGGAAAGCGCGGGGCCGGGGGGGCAGAACAGCGCCTGAGGCAGAGTGACGCGGATGCTCCCAACCCAGCTTTGCCATCACTGACACTCTGCCGCTGTGGCTCCTTAAAATATCACACAGACAGAGCTCTGAACGGTGTATTTTAATTTAGAAATAGCGCGGGGCTTTACTCCTCTAAGTAGATGGCAAAAGACATGGTCTGTGCCCCCTAGCATTGTCAAAAATTTAGCTGACATTGCGACTGAAAGGAACCTCTGGAGGTCCTCTGCCTTCAGCAGGTTGCTTTAGGCCATTTTCAGTCGGGTTGTGAACATCTCCAAGCATTGAGATTGTGCAACCTCTTAGATGGCCTGTTCCAGTCTCTGATCCCGCCCCTTATCTATAAATTAGGGTTATTTTTCATTCCATTCAGGTGACATTTCCTGTATTTCTGTCACCTTAGCCTGTCGGTTTGTGTCGCTCAGGTCTGGCTGTACGTTTTTTAGTCCTTCCCCAATCCCTCTTTTCTCCAAGCTAAACAGTCCAGGCTCCCTCAGGCTTTCCTGGCATGAGAGATGCTTTGAGCTCTTGGCCACCTTCAGAGCTCCTCCCTGGATTAACTCCAGCGTGTCCATGCCTTGCTTGTGCTGGAGACCCAGTACTCCCAGCTTCAAGATGTGCTGAGCTGGGATAGGGTCTGGAATAAAAGTTTTAAGATAAAACTGTCCCCTATGCTTCAGGGCTTCACCAACTTTCTTTATTTCAGTTTTAATTTGATCAACCCGTAAGAAAGTAGGAGGAGGGCCTCAATAAGGACTGCAAATACAAGTAGGGGGGATTTAGAAGCTGCTGCATATAGATTGCACTAACAAGAAAAAAAGTTAAATTTATGTACCTGGGGCTGGTTTTGTTTTCAGTTTGTAAAACACTGATGAAATGTGCTGTGGATCAGTGCCCAAGGTTCTTTTTAGTATAGTTACTTCTTAGATAAGCGTCTGTTTTGACTTTCACTCGAGTTGAAGCTAAACTTCCATGTACAGCAGCATGACTTGGATTAAATTATGTGTTTCGGTCTTGTCCAGATTTGGATAATGTTTATTTTTCTCCTGAAAAGTGTTATGTTTGCATTATGAAATGTGATGTACTGAAGAGTTTTTACTAAATATTGTAAAGGTCAAGAGTATTTCAACTTCAGAATTAAAATCAACATTATTTGTACTTGTCGCTTGTGCTGCTTTTTATCCCTAAGGAAAGAGATTCTGAATAATATTCCTGAAAGACAGAAAAGATAGAGTTTTTTCCTTAGTAGCTGATCTGATGGGGAGTCGTTCCCACAAGTGTCTAATATTTTTCTTTTCTGACCTTCCTGTTAACTAAATACTTCTTTTCAAGGGTGGAGACTTCCACATCAGGCTACTGCTGCCGGTGGATTTGCAACTGAAAAATGCCAGGTAAGAGACTTTTATGATAGCAATTTCTAAGTGTGATGTAACAAAGTTAATTTTGATAAAAGCAATAATGGATATGAAAATGAGTTATTCTTTTTTTCCCAATATCAGTGTTATTAATTAATTCGCACTGGTTTCATCTTAACCTTGCAACAAAATTGCACAGCATCAGTGTTAATAAATGCTGACGATAAGCATCGCCTATATCAAAAGATTTTGTTGTTAATTAACTTTGAAAAGTTGTAATTAATTGGTTGTATTTACATACATGAAGCAGTGTACTTGGGAAAAAATTATATTTTTATATAATTTATATTTATAGATCATTTAGATGTGACCATTTCAGAAACAGAAAATTCAGTGCAAAGTTGTAAATTTAAGCAATTAGGTGAGCAATTTAAGCAATGATGGCTAACAGAGCTTTTAAACTTCATTTTCTGTTTGCTGTTTCTGTGTATTAATTGGTATGACCCAACTTTTCCTTAAAAGCTTTGTTCTTATTTCTGTTTATCCCAGCAGTCAGTGGCAAGTGGGATGAAAAGGGCTACTCCACATACGTGGGTGAGCCTTTAACTTTGTATTCCATGGTTCTGCCTGGGCCAGCCAGCTCCAAACTGGGAGCAGATGTGGTATTCCACAGCTTTGTTACATTCTAGGTTGGGTGATTAAAACTGCATTACAAAGGTAACTTTGACATTTTCAGGTTATCACTTTTGAATATTAGTGGATTTTATGAAGTCACACTTGCTTGCAAGAATTATGTTGTTGTTTTTGGCACAGAACAGGCTTTTGCAGGTCGATGCTTAATTTTTAATGGGCTTTGACATAGTGACATTTGGAATTTTTAAGTAACTTTGAACACAAAACTCAAAGCAGCTCTGAAGTATTGTTTCGTTCCTTTGGTTTTTTTCCAAGAAAAGCTGTTGTGTGTAGAAGGCTTTCTGCTGTCTTCTAAAAATCATGTACTGTGAATTTAAAATCTCTACAAAACTCTTGTTTGTCTAGGATAGAGTGTAGCTGGCGTCTGAAGAAGATCCTGCATGGATGTTGGCACATTTTAAAGCAGGTATGCAAGTTTAAAACCACTTATTTAAATATGATTATTAAACAGTCTTAAGTCTTTGTTTATAAGGATTCTGAAAAGCTTATGCTTGTACACATATTCTAAAAGGGCTAAAGAGCCTCCCTTTCATTGTAGAGCCAAGATGTTTTTTTTTTAAATGGATGAGGATTTGCAAGTAAATATAATGAGAAATGGATGGAATTCAGTGAATATTTACCTTTATTCAACTCTTATCTTTTATTTTTTTTGACGTCAGGCTAGAACAATTTTTAATAAATGACTGATGACGTTTTTACTGGAATTTTTCTTTACCCTCTCAATTAGAAACAGATTTTGTCTTCTTTTTTTAACATATTTACTTTTTTACAAGTTGTTCATTCAATGCACAGGGGATAATTCACATTAATTTTTAATAGACTCAGTTCATTCTTGGGATCTAAATTACACCTGAGTACCCAAAGGAAGCTTTGGAGTGAGGATACAGCAGCCTTCAAGTCCTAAAGAATGCTTTGATTCCAAGGAGGAGCCTTTGCCATGGTGTTGGTTGAGACACTGTATCTCATGGATGTGGGTTCATAAATACATAAATGAGTGATGCCAGGGGATGTTTCCTTCTCCATAAAGTTTCCTGGAAGTTCTCTTCTGTAACTGAAAAATGTAAACATGTGGTGTACACTTGGGGTTTTTTATGTTTAGTTTAACAATACCAGAAAAAGAGTTGGGCTGAACCACCAGAAGTTACAATTTGCAGAAAATTAACTAATCCTCTCCTCCAGAGGCTGCAGAGCTGCCCAGATCTTGTCAGCTTTATGGTGGAACTGAAAACTGTTTTGGTGAGTGGCAGAATATAGGTGTGGGCCATGGGAGGCTCTTAGAGCTTTGGGTTTCACTTGCAGTTTTTACAGGTTACTGTTCCATAGATTTATAGCTTTTTTTTTTTTTTTTTTTAATAAAAAGTGATTTTGTATATATGCTGTTCACGTAACAGTTGTATGAATATCCTCCCATTTAAGTGACTGTATTCTTTGGAATTTGGAGTATTATAGAAAATTTAGAATCCCAGCGAGGGATCTCAGTATAGAGATCGTCTTTACAGTGATTTTCTTGGAATTCCTGTTATTGGCTGGGTGGTAAAGCAGGCTTGTAATTATATAATGGGTTATACAGTCAGTGGATTGCTGAAGGTGCTTTCACCTGTGTAACAGTTTGACAAATACATGCAGGAAGGGTTTTTTTTTTTCCCCCTAATATTTCAGAGGCTGCTGTTTATTCTTCTTTTAGAAGATTTCCAGGTCTGGGGTTGAAGAGTAGCAAACCCTTTAATAAACATGAAACTGGGACTTCTTATCTAATAGTAAAACATTATTCTATGAACATTCTTGCTGATGAATACTTCATCCAACCTACTTTATTTCAGGAATAAAACAGAGGAAGTATTCAAAACTGCAGCAGCAGTTCCTCCTGGCATTACACTGCTGCTCTGCTCTGCTTTGCTTGGAATGGGCCTGAATAAGAATGTCTATTTTGGAATATTTTACAATAGTTATTCCAATCTATTTGCTTACTTACACAAGCACTCAGAAAATGAGAATGCAGTGAAAGTATAATCCATTCCAAATGGCAAAATAGCGATCCCCAGTTACTGCAGAGAATGAAAACACTGATGATGGTGTGGGAGAACTGGGCAGAAATGATTGTTAAACTTGTCTTACAAATTATATTTTCATTTAAATTTATTTTATTTTAAATTATTAATAATTTTATTCTAAATGTCATAAATGTGTGTGTTCTGTAAGCATAATTTTAACTGAAATGCACTTTTAGAGAACAAGTAGCACAACACAACTGAAACACATGGTTAGGCCTTATTTTTTGCAGTAATGTTAACTTTTCAATAAAAACTTCTTTTTGAGACATCACTACATTCTTGACGAGTGTCTGTACCAAAACTTACTCTAAGGGATCCTGTGATGTTGAAACTGAGAAACTGATTTTGGTTTTTCATTGCTATATGAAGTTTATATATATATATATATAAAATATGGGAAATATCATAGATGTGTTGTCCTTTGTGGCAGCAGAGCCAAGGAGACAGTTGTGGGCTTAATAGAACCTTATTTTGAAGTGCTCTTTCAGTCAAGATGCTTGACTTCAAATTTATTAGCTGAAAAAGAGGCACATTTGATATTTGCACCTGAAGACTCTGTTGTCAATGTCTGTGGGGTTTTTTTTAAGTTGAAGATGTTTTCATTACCAGTATCTGAAGTAATTTATTGAACAGCTTCTTTATCTGCTTTAGCTGGAGGCTATAACAAAACAAATGCAGCGTACAGTTAATTTTGCATAAGCTTAATATTTCTGAATTAATTGCAAAAATAACTAAATAGATGCAAAAATATTGAAATTGCCCTTAACGATGTTTTTAATGTTCTTTTAAACAGGAAATTGCTTTAAAAAACACACAAGACCTGCACATCTCACGGCCTCCAGAATACTACTCCTGTCTTGTCAGAGATCTAGAAATACTAGGCTGGAATAGGTATGATTATTTTAGTTCTTAACAAACATCATCTTTAGAAATCTATTCCTCTTTTGTGAGTTGAACGTATCAGATGTGCTTGTTCTGTTCATTTACTCTATTCAGAAACTGATTTTGCTTTGTATTTAAATTAAAAACACCCAGCAAACCTGTATCAACTGAAGGGATATTTTCTGTCTCAAATAACTAAGCTGAAAGGTGATACTCTGTAGGAGACGCTTTCTGGGGACGGTCAGAGACACGGCAGAGACCTCTATAATCGAGTTAAGTGTTAGAAGTTTATTTCAGGGCGTGGGGTAGAGAGGTAGAGAGAGAGAGCAAGAGAGGGTAAGAGAGGGCAAGAGAGACGGAAAAAAAGAGCAAGCAAGAGGCCGAGCTCTTCTATACCACTACTTATATAACCTATACCTTTGAATATTCTATTCCTTTTCTAACCAATCTTTCTAAGTATACTAATATAGTAACATTTGTGTACAACCTATAGAAATCGCTATTTTTGCATATTTTTAGTTATCTCAGGGTCCTTCAGACCTTTCCTTATAAGGCTGGGATGAGGGGTCTCAGCTTGGTTTTATTGCAGGAAAGAATGTGTTCTGGCATACCAGCCCGGTTGGTTTCTTTGAATTATTCAAACCGTGCTATCATTTGTATTTCTTCCTTAGCCTTTCTGGCTACAAAGTCATATTTATAATTTCTTTCTAATTCTACCTTCCCAACATCTCCCCCGTTTTGTCTATGAATAACTAAGATATTAGATATGGTTCTACTCATTAGTTTCTGCATGCATTGGAGTATACAAGGTATAGCTATTAAAACTACAATTATCACTATACAGATTAAAACAAAAAGATAAAAACAACATGCACTTGGGTAAACGACAGAACTCCATTTTTTTTTTTCTTGAGCTGCTTCTGGTAGATCACTTTCTTCTTGAAGATTCTGCGTAGATCAGGCTTGGGCGTCTGCTTCTTGGCTCTTTTTTGCAGGGTCACTGGCTGGTGTGGAGGTTTCAGCAGACTTCGATGTGCAGTAGGGTTTCAGTGAGCTTTTGATCTCGTGCCTCTGCTTGAGCCGCGATTACTGCAGCTTGTGATGTTTGTGCTAAAAGAGCTTTTTCCAGCTTCTCCCTTAAGGTTCTCCCCAATTCAGTTGCTTGAATTGCTGCTACATGTTGTGGACTTCCTATTTTGTTACAAGCGTCTATCATTTCTGGCACTGTTGGCTTTTCTTTTCCCAGGGCTTTGATCACCTTCTTACATTCGGCATTAGCATTATTTTCGATAATGTCCAGTATCATAATTGGACGGGCTATATCATCACCACACTGGCGTTCAGCAGCTTGAATTACACGATCCACAAATGTTGTGAATGGCTCAGAGGCTTCTTGGCTAATAAGGTTATAAGCTTTTTCATTTCGGTCATCTGGAGGTTCACCTGTGAGCTTTGACAGGGTGAGAGCACGCAAATCTGGATCATTACTACGTCTATAATTGTCCAATACATTTCTGAGTAGTCTCTTCCATTTCAATTCCCATAGCATAAATTGCGAATCTGTAAGGGTGATGCTAGCAAGATTTTTGCAGTCATTGGGTGTGAGAGTATGCTCTTCTAGTGTACTTTTCAGTAGTTGTTTAAAATATGGAGAGCAAATGCCACTGTCCTTTATCGCTTTTCGCAGTTCTTTTATCTCCTGGGGTGGAATAGCTGTCCATGTTCTTGGACCGCCCGCCTGCTGACTAAATAACACCGGCATTGCTAGGGGGTTTATGTTTTCTTCTTTGCAAATTTGTCTTTTGACTTCCAGCCAGTTTGTAAGTTGGCTATCATCATAACATTCTTGGGAATTTATGTGTAGTGGAGCTTCGGATTTTACAATCTCACTTTGAAGTGGTAAAGTCAGGGGATTAGCTGTTGCATGCATAGAATAGTTCACTGTCTCTCCTGTATTTATTAATGCAGATACTGAGTTAGAAATTCCCCTTTCTTTTTGTACCTTTTGTGTAGCCAGGTGTAGCGGCGGCCTTGTAGTTGTAGTGTCGGCTGACAGTAGCTGCGATAGGGGACGGTCAGGGGGCAGAACGGGATGCTGCACTTGCGGATAAGCCTCTGGGAGCTGCGGCACGGGCGAGGGCAGGGAAGCAGGTTTCGGTTGTTCGCGGTTATAATGCGCGGGGGCATCTGACAGCGAAGCGGCAGTTCTTGGTGATATTACAGCCGGGTCTGGTAGAGGATCGGGGGGATACACAGGACCAGACGCTGGCGGGAGTAGCGCGGTGTTTTGTGACCGTGTGGAAACCTGTGGTTGACACTGCGTTTGTGTAAGTTCCGGTCCAGGGTCGGTGGTGGCGGCCCTCGTGGCAGACAGAACCGGGACCTGCTGCGGCTCGGGACCGCGTGGCCAGAGAGAAACAGCAGAAGGAGCTGAGGGGGCCGGGGTGGACCGGGCAGCGGAGGCTGGAATGTCTGCGGGCCGCGGCAAAACGGGAGGCGGAGAAAAATGAAACAACGAGATGTTCGAGGCAGCAGTGGTCTGTGTCGGCTCAGGGGCCAAGGTGTGACCTGCTGCTGACGGCGGGGCTGACTCCGCGGTGACAGGAGGTAGTGGAAGAGTTAAGGAAGAGGCTGAAGTGTGGTTTTGTAACGCAGATAGAATATAGGCAGTAGCCGCGATGACGGCCG